AAATAAAAGCTATTTTAGTAATTTTTAATTAATTTCAAACGAATGTGAACATATTTAGTGTATGAAAAACAGAAATAAGAGTGGAGAAAAAATTCTTGTTAACGAAGAAGAAACAACGCCGAAAATTCTCAATTTTCATTTTCTTAATAGAATGATCATTTTGAGTTATCATATTAATGATTTTGTCATATTAATGTGCATCGAAGTAGTCGTTGAAACTGATTATTTTAAGGTGGCAATCATGCAAAAATTCAAAGAATCCTAACGTCAAATTTTCCTACAAATTATTTTTTCAAATAAGGTAGCAAAAAATAATTAAAATTAACAACGTAATGAAGATAGGGTAGCAAACATAAAGATTTTTGTCATTATTAATGTGCTTAAATTTGTTCTGAATGACATATTAATGACACTTTTTGTGTAAATCAGCCTTTAAGTTAAAGATTCATTTAGACTACTACAACCTACTTGATGCACATTAATATGAAAAAGAGTATAATTTCTTAAATTAATAATTCCACTAATAAGTATCAAAATAGTGACCAATTTTAAGTAAAAACACCAAATTTTGGGGGCTTACCATTCCTCGTTGATTTCCTCATTGGTCCTCGGCAAGATCCTCATCACCTCCCCCGTCCTAGTCGAAACGACAATATTCGACCCCACAGCATCCAAAACATCAATCGAATCAATTTTCCGAATCTCCCAAGGCCTTGCCGTGAAACTATACGGCTTGCTTGTCAACGCCCCCACGGGACACAAATCAATCACATTTCCCGACAACTCAGACAAGAAAAACTTCTGTACATAAGTACCAATTTCCATACCGGAGCCCCGTCCTGTGGTCCCCAAATCATCAACCCCAGCGACCTCTGACGCGAAACGAATACACCTAGTGCAATGGATACACCTTGTCATTATCGTCTTGATCAAAGGCCCGATATCCTTATCCTCCACAGCCCTCTTCCCGGAGAAATCAATATCGGTGAACCTTGACCTATCCGACCCGAAGGCCATACTCTGGTCCTGCAAGTCGCACTCGCCCCCTTGGTCGCAAATGGGGCAGTCTAACGGGTGGTTCACCAGGAGGAATTCCATTACCCCCTCGCGGGCCTTCTTCGTCATCTCAGAATTGGTTTTAATGCGCCACCCTGTAGATTATATTATGATGAAATTGGGGTGTTTAAGGGGTTGGATGAGTACCTTTCATGACGGGCATGGCGCACGCCGCCACCGGTTTCGGGGACTTCTCCACTTCCACCAGACACATTCTGCAATTGCCGGCGACGGCGAGGCGCTCGTGGTAGCAAAATCGGGGGATTTCCACGCCGATCAAAGCAGCGGCTTGGAGGACTGTGGTGCCAGGGTCCACCAAAACGGGTTGGTCGTCAATGAAGACTTCGATTTTTTCCGGTTTTTTGGCGACGTCACTTGAGGCGCGGGACAAGACGGTGATGTGCTTGGGGCACAGTTGCGACCCTTTGAGGGCTTTCAAAAGGGTTGTACGCAGCATTGTCTACGAGAAAGCGAAATACCAATTACATAATTGAGTGGTTTTATAACCTAACTTTACGCAATTTAGCACTTTACATGACTTGTAACTGTCTTTTAACTAATGGTTATGATAAAAATAGTTAGGTGTGTGTAATGGAAACGTGGTTTTTTCGTAAATTACCTTCTTTTTTGTGTTTTTAATAATAAACGTCAAAAAATGACGTCCATTACAAAACGTCAAAATCGACGGTTGGTAGCACTAGACTAGTGAAATACTCTCATAAAAAATTCTTTTCGTGTTATATTTGTGATTTTTGGCGTGGTTACTTTGAACTTTTTACTCAAAAATAGGCAAATGCAGCTTCGGAGACCTTAATTTTTTTTTTTCAAGAATAAACGTCAAAACGACAAAATTAATGGTTGGTAGCAATGGACTAGAGAAAAACTAAAAAAATATTCCCTTCTTGTTTTGACCCTTTAGAGGGCTTTCAAACGGGTTGTAGAACGTATGTACTCAGCATTGTGGGTTTATAACTTAAATTTTACTCAATTTAATACTTCACAATGATTATAATAAACATAAACGTCAAAATTGACGGTTGGTAGAACTGGACTAGTAAAAAAATCTTTTTCTGTTTTGATTTTTACCCTTTGGGGGCCTTCAAAGGGTTCCTTGCAGCATTGTCTACAAGAAAGTGAAATATCAATTATGTCATAATTGAGGGGTTTTATAACCAAACTAACTTTATTTAATTTAACACTACAAAATTGTGACTGCCTTTTATGTAATGATTATGATAAAAATAGTTGGTAGTGTGTGATGAAAACATGTTTTTGTCTTTAATTACCTTCTTTTTTGGGTTTTTATGAATAAACTTCTAAAATTGAGGCCTATTACAAACGTCTAAACATGACGGTTGGAAGCACTGGACTAGTGAAAAAAAACTAAAGAATTTTGTTTTGTTTTGACTTATGATTATAATAAAAATAGTTGATTTGTGCAATAAAAATGTTTTTGTCTTTAATAACCTTCTTTTTGTGTTTTTAATAATAAAAATAAAAAAAGCAAAAAATAACGCCCATTACAAACGCCAAAATTGGCGATTGGTAGCATTGGACTAGTGAAAAAAAAAACCTTTTTAGGTTATCATCTGTCTTTGATTAGTGATCGACGATGATAGAAATAGTTGGTTGTGTGTAATTTAAAAGTGTTTTTGCTTTTAATTATTTTCCTTTTTGGATTTTAAGCGTTACATGACAAACGTCTAAACTGACGGTTGGCAGCACTGGACTAGTAAAAAAACTGACAATATTTATTTATTTTTACCTTTGCAGTGTCTTCAAAAGGGTTGGCCGCAACATTATTAAAAAAAAACTTCATGATTGGAGGGTTTTATAACTTTATTCAATTTAACAATTTACATTGAAATTGTGACTTTTTTATGTGTTGATTATAATAAAAATAATTGGTTGTGTGTAAAGGAAACATGCTTTTGTCTTTATTTACCTTCTTTTTTTGTGTTTTAAATAATAAAATTAAAAAAATAACGCTGAAACTGGCAGTTGGTAGCGCTGGACTAGTAAAAAAACTAAAAAATCTTTTCTGGTTACCAACTGTTTATTATTTATTATTGATATTGTTTGATTACGATAAAACAGCCAGTTGTGTGTAATTCAAATGTGTTTTTCTCGTAATTACTTTCTTTTTGGTATTTTAAAAAACATCACAAACTTCAAAATTGACAGTTGGTGGCACTGATCTAGTGAGAAAAATAACAAAGTCCCTTTTCTTGTCACCCTCATCCTCGGCGTGTTCACTCTCAACTTTTCACTCAAAAATGGGCAAACCCAGTTTCGGCGACCTCAAAACCGACAAAGGCGTGAAAGAACTGAACAGTTTCCTCGAAAGTCGCAGCTACATTGAAGGGTAAACAACCACGGTCACACATCTCCATTACCTAACCTCACATTTCAGTTACTCGCTCTCCCAAGCCGACTTGGACGCCTTCGGGAGGCTCCAAAAGGCCCCCGCTGCGAACCTCCCCCACGCCTTGCGTTGGTACACCCATGTCAAGTCTTTCACTCCAGCCGAATTGAAGTCGTTGGGGGTTTCGGGGGCGTGCCCCATGAAGACCGCCGCTCCGACCACCAAGGATGACGACGATGATGTCGATTTGTTCGCGTCTGATGAGGAGGAGGACGCGGAAGCGGCCAAAATCAGGGAGGAGCGTTTGAAGGCCTACGCCGAGAAGAAGTCCAAAAAACCGGAACTTATCGCCAAGTCTAGTATTGTGCTAGATGTCAAGCCGTGGGATGATGAGACCGATATGAAGGAGATGGAGAAGAATGTGCGGACTATTGAAATGGACGGCTTGGTGTGGGGGGCCTCAAAACTGGTACCAGTGGGGTACGGAATCAACAAATTGCAAATTATGTGCGTGGTTGAGGATTTGAAGGTCTCGGTGGATGAATTGGTCGAGAAGATTGAGGAGTTTGAGGATTTCGTCCAGTCGGTCGATATCGCAGCCTTCAATAAGATTTAAATGTCATTTTTCAACTTGAATAAATGTTTATTGATAACTTTGTATTAATTTGTAATTGTGGTGGTTGAGATTCCAGTCTTGGTGTAGGTTGGTAATAAAATTTATTACTTTACAAAATTGTGTCTTTTATGTAATAAACATAAACGTCAAAAAACGACATTCATTTTAAACGTCAAAATTGACGGTTGGTAGAACTGGACTAGTAAAAAAGTCTTTTTTTTAATTTTTACCCTTTGGGGGCCTTCAAAGGGTTTGTTGCAGCATTGTCCACAAGAAAGTGAAATATCAATTATGTCATAATTGAGAGGTTTTATAACCAAACTAACTTTATTTAATTTAACACTACAAAATTGTGATTGCCTTTGATGTAATGATTATGATAAAATTAGTTGGTAGTGTGTGATGAAAACATGTTTTTGTCTTTAATTACCTTCTTTTTTGGGTTTTTATGAATAAACTTCTAAAATTGAGACCTATCACAAACGTCTAAACATGACGGTTGGTAGCACTGGACTAGTGAAAAAAAAATTAAGAAGTTTTGTTTTGACTTTTGAGGGCTTTTGAAAAAGTTGGGACCAGCTATATTTTCAAAAAAGTCAAAGATCAATTACATAATCGAGTGGTTTTATAACCCCAACTTTAGTCAATTTAAGACCTTACAAAATTTTATGATTTTATGTAATGATTATAATAAAAATAATTGATTGTGTGTAAAGGAAACGTGCTTTTGTTTTTAATTACCTCCTTTTTTGTGTTTTTAATAATAATAAAAATAACACGCTGAAACTAGCGTCTAAACCATATAAACATGACGGTTGGTAGCACTAGACTAGTGAAAAAAAAACTAAGAATTTTTTTTGTTTTGACTTTTGAGGGCTTTTGAAAAAGTTGGACGCAGCTATATTTTCAAAAAAGTCAAATATCAATTACATAATTGATAACAACTTTAGTCAATTTAAGACCTTACGAAATTGTGACTGATGTTATTAAATGATTATAATAAAAATAGTTGGTTTGTGAAATAAAAATATGTTTTTGTCTTTAATAACCTTCTTTTTGTGTTTATAATAATAAAAATAAAAAAGCAAAAAAGATTTAAATGTCATTTTTCAACTTGAATAAACGTTTATTGATGACTTTGTATTAATTTGTAAAGACGCAAGTTACTAAACCCGGATTGTGGTGGTTGAGATTCCAGTCTTGGTGTAGGTTGGTAATAAAATTCCCTACTTTCTGGGGGTTTCACATAATTTGATAAAATCGGTTCTCTGTCTTTTTGCGGGAGAGGTTCCCGTGATGTTATGACAGGTGGTGATTTAGAAGGCACCTCTAGTGGTATCAAATCCTTATAAATTGGTTTATCTGAAGGAAAATTCACTTTTCTCGTCATCTGAAAACCAAAAATTACCGAGAGAAAATCACACTTTTTACTCACCTTTTCACTAAATGCTATATTTGAAACCTTGACGTTTGTCGCACTTTTGACCCTTTCCATTTTTTCCGTTATTTTCAAGACCGAATTAAGCTGAGGGAACTCAAAATTTGACTCACTCTGTTTTGGTGCAACTTTACAATTTTTCTTTTTCCCCACATTTTTGTGGTTCCCCTCAATCACAAGCTTCGTTTTGGGCACCGGAAGCTCAGTGTTTCTCACAAGAGTTACCTTGGGGTCATTTTTCTTCACTTTATTCATGTTTGGTCGAAAGTGAGGTTATGTTAAACGTCATTTACTAAATCAGAATCTTAATTATGAATTGATTGAGAAGTGGGGTCGCTATTTTCGGCCAGGACCACACCCGTGTTACTTTGGGGCCACTTTATTTCTGGTTATTGACTTGAAATTATAAAATTTGGGCCTAAGTGAGGTTATGTAAAATGTCATTTCTTGAATCAAAACCGTAATTATGAGTTTGGAGCCAAGCGGGGCCGATATTTTGGAGCAATACCACACAATTTCGAGCAAATTAAAAAAGTATGTTTTGGGATTAATTGTGCAGAATTTTAAAAATTAAAAAAATTGTATTTTTCGCCCCCTTGTAGGCGCTTCCTCCGTAAGCCCAACGTGACCGAAGCGTGTGAGTCGTTCAGTTCGTTGGGGAAACAATGCGAGGCCTCCGAACTGCCTTCGTACGCGGGGTTGTGCTGGATTTCGTCAGCGCGATGTGAGGGCTCCTTGGGGAACACCCCGGGCGAGGCGGCTTGTTTGACTCGAGCCGCCCGTCAGTTTTTATCAGCCGAGAGGAAGGACCACGAGTTGGGGTGCCCCAGTCCGTGTCAGGAGAATTTAGAAGTAAATTACGACAAATCGTTTCAAGTTTTTAATTTCTTTTTTAAGGCTGCTGTTGGTTGTTTTGCGTACGCTGCAAGTCGCTACCCGGACGACAGCCCCCTTCCGATCGGGCTCAATCTCGAGCTGGTGGAATTTTTGACGAAAATTGACAAAGGGGGCGATGTTGAGGACCATTTGTTAAACACAGTCGAGCTAGCGAAGGATAATTTTGACACTAAAATTTTTTGTTTAGAATTGTTAGCGTCCCATTATATTGAAAGTCGGGACTATACAGGAGCCCTAAACACGTATAATGACATCGTCTCCATTGTCGAATTGCTACCCCTGAATGGGGCAAGAGCTGAAACTGTCTTAAAATGCGAAGTTAGTCGAGTTTTGCTTTTGTTGATTTTGAGACCTGCGCCCCAGAAGTTGCCACCGAATTTGGCCAAATTACTCGAAAAGTACACATGGGGGGACCAAAACGACAAAGGGCTCAAAGGTACCCCAAAATTCGCAAATGGGCACATTGAAATTAATTATTTCAGCCTGTGGGATGTCTCAAAGGATGTTTATTTTACTCCAATCACTGGTAGCCGCATGTCAGTCGTTGGATACCTCGAATCTTGACCATTTGGAAAACGAATTGTGGAAAATGGTTGGAAAAGAGGAACGGGAATTGTTGAGAATATTGGTGCAAATTTATCTTGACCTGTAGAAAAGAATTATTCTTATTGAGTTTGTGACTTTTTGGTTGATTTGCTAAAAAATAAACTAATTTATTGTTATAAAATAGGTGCATTTTTTGCCCCCCAAAGCAATACAAAAAAGTTGAATTTGCGATCAAAGTGAAATTCATTGTATGTGACAAAAAATAAACGAATTAATAATTAACTGCATTTTTCTTCACTCAAAACAATTTCTTTCTGATTTTTATTCGTGCAAAAAAAATTCTAATCAAAATAGCCGTGACTTTGAAATTCAGTTGGCAACATTGAAGGATTACAGTACAAAAACTTTTGATTAGAAATTTAATCGAATGCGATTATATCATCCAAACAAACCATTTTTTATTAGTTAGAAATCAATTTTTATCGTATTTTGGGATTTTTTTAGCGTCAGGTTGGTGGTGATTTTAAAAAACT